TTCCTAAAGCAAAAATATCAAACACTTAGCTGATATAATCTCTTGATTTCTATGAAAGAGAAGACATTAAAGATTCAGTCAATAATATATACCAATTATGAGTGGCATTATACTTATGCAGCTTTTCTTCCCCTTCTCATTAAAATAATGTAATCAATACTGTTGTTTCAAGGATTTTGCTGGATAAAAAAATAACATTTCTTTGTAAATATTTCTATGTACATAAGCTGTATATATATATATATATATATATATATATATTTTAATCATGAAAGAAGTTGTGTGATAAATATATATTTTTTATTGTTGTGTTTTGGCTCTCATGAAAATGTCTCTTTTCCTGGCTGCCTATAAAAACGATTTCACAGAATACATTTTTTTTCACCAAGACCATGGGATTGTAAACATGACAATCCTTAAGTTTGATTATTCTATTTTATGATCGTCTGAGAAAGACAATGTGCTTTGCTGTCAATGTGATTTTCAATGGTGAATTCACATTTGCAGTTGCATGTGGAATTTAGAGGCAGGGTGCATAGAACAGCACTTGTTGGGACAGGAGCAGATGTATCCATTATAGCAACTTGCTGTGAGATGCTGCAAATACCAATCAACTTGAAAGTTGTTTGCTGCCATGACACATAAGTTGTGCCATTGAGATTGTTCAGTAGCAACAGCAGGCTCAAGTTTACAGGACTGCCCATCTCTGATCATTCTTCTTCTTGTATCTTTTTCTTGGGCAACCTCTGACATGACTGCCCAGATCCAGTTTTCCAGAGAACACTTACCATGGTGTCTGGGATGCATTTATGCTGATCACATGACCAGTTCATTTGGTCTGAGTTTCATTATTAATTATTTTCACTTATGCCATTAAAAATGATGGCAATTTAATTTTTTTCCAAAAATTATTTCACTTGGCTCTTTCACCTCTTGACACTGAGAACATATACTTATAACAAATACACTGCCACCTGTCATTGCCAATACAGAGGAGACAATTTTGGTGCCACTAGTGCAAGGGAGACAACTCTAATAGATCAAAAAGGTACAGACAAATATACTTGCCGAGTTATATACTCGGCACTTTTTTTATTTGTCGTCACTATTTTTAAAAGTAAACTTTTACAGTGATAGTTAATATGGAATGTTTAGGATGCTAGTAAATATAATTAAATGCTCTACTAATTTGTCTGATAAAGTCAGCTTAGTTCAATAAATACCTGCTTAATAAACCTTGGATCAAATAAAGTATTATAAATTTAACATTGGACTAGCCTCTCCAGTAAATTTAAACATTTAAAAATAAATGCCTTTAAATATAGGTCTATTCAATTTGATCTAATTTAAGCATTTAGAAAGTGACTAAGGTTGGTGTGGTTATGATTGCAGCAGAAATTCTTGACATCAGTTGACATCTGCAGTGAAAAGGTTAAATTTCAGTCATGCAATAAGATTTAAATAAACATTCGTTTCAAAAAACTTTTAATCTAAAATCTCAAAGATAAATACTCATAATTTACTTTTTCTTTGCAAATATGCATATATTTGCATGGAAATTCATGAATTGAACAGCCAAATTTTTCTTTTTTTATCACACAATGACAATTTTCTTTACATAGTAATGTATAAATTGGCACAATTTTTACAAGTACAGACTCATATATTTGAGTGAAATGAATATGAATATATAAGACTCATTTGTTAAATACAAATAGTAAATTCAGAGTATCCTATATTATAGCATGCAACTTTTGAAGACCTAATTTTGAAGCTAATTTTAAGGGTGGTTACATCATACACAAGATATAAAATTAGTGTATGTACTGCTGGTCCTGGCTACACCGTTGACCAAACTATATATCCATTTACTGTAGTCAAATTAGCTTCAAAATTAGGTCTTCAAAGGTCACATGATACGCGAGTATAAACGGTAATTTCTCTCCAAATAATTAGAAAATTGTTTGGGGAAAAACAAATAATTTCATAAAATAGGAATGTTATTAAAGTGAATGTGCACATTCACTTTTTTATTTAAATAAGTAAAAATTAAATTTAGTATTTATAAACTTGAATTTATTCAATCTGAGCAAATATAAGCATAACACAATGGTTGGTGTGCTTATTATTTCAAGTTTAGTTAAAGTCTAAGATTTTACTACTGAAAGCATCTGCAAATATTTGTTGATCACTCACAAAATGTAAAAAAATATCTTTCTAGCTTATGAGATTTTTTCATTCAATTTAATAATGAAAGTTATTTAAAGGCTGACCACATTTTTATCACTTACATTAAACTATTTGAAAATTTCATTTTCTAAAGAGATTTATAGCTTACAATAAATCTATAGAGAATGACTTGGAAAAAAATCAATGTTAATGATATTATGAAGTGCAGTTACACTCAGTATATTCCTGTAAATATGAACATTATCATTAGTATAAAATCTAAGTGGATTGTATATGTGCTAAGCAAAGCCTTAGACAAGGATTCAATAATAATTCTCTAGTATAAATCAGTGGAAGAATTGAGAAATATTTTTTTATTTAAGAATTAATATAATTAACTATAAAATCTTATCAGAGGTACAAAATTTTAATACAGCAATAAAAATGGACATCATTTTTTTTAAGTCAAGAAAAGGGAAAATCACAACTACAGAAGTTTGTACAAAAATAGAAGTACAGAAAAAGAGAAACAAAAGGAAAAAAATGAATGGAAAAAACAAAAACAAAAGTGGAATGGCCTAACTGGTTATCACACGTCACTAGTCAGAGCTTGATGGAAGTTAATAAATAAAATTACTGTGCACATTGAATAAAAAAAAGAAACCTGACAAAAAAAAAAAAAAAAAAAAATACACACATCTCAATAATATATTGAGACGATTATATTTTTCATAAACAGAATAAGTGGTTGTGTGGACTTAACGTGATCTGAAAATATACTTACCTCAATATATTATTGATGTGTGGATTTTTTGTCAGGTTTCTTTTTTAAAATCAATGTACACTGTAATTTTATTTATTTACCTTGAAAGAGCTCTGGTGAGTAAAATGTGATAACTTGTTAGCTCGGTCCAGTTTGTCTTTTTTCTTTCCATTTTTCGTGCTTCTATTTTTGTACAACTTCTGTAGTTGTGGGTTTCTTGTCCTTTAAAAATTATGCCTGTTTTTAATTGATGTAGTTCACCATAACTTTTTAGTTAATCATAATTAACTTAAAACCATATCCCATTATGAAATGGAAGTTGATAACTGCCAACAGTTTATTCATATTTTAGAAAGTGTACCTTGTCTTCCAACATTTTTTGTCAGGACGCCTACACAGGCAAAAAAAAAAAAAAAAAAAATATATATATATATATATATATATATATATATATGAATCTTGTTTACTAATACAGGGAATAAATTTGCTATATTTGACAAATTTTTCACAAATCTTTGGTTAAACAATTTGGACATCATGATTTTTGTTTGTCAGAAACTGGTCTTTCTTATTTTGGCAACAGTAAACTAGAATCAGTTTAGATACAAATGTTGGGTAAATAAAACATTTTAAGCCATGAATGAAACAAGACAAAGAGAAACAACCAGACATTAAAATAATACTGTTGTTTTCATTCAGGAAGATCACTATTTACTTTGTTTTGGTCTAGATTAAGATTAAACTTTCATCTAAAGATTTCTTAATGCGTACTTTATTGGAGCACACCTTTATGATAATAAAGAAAATAAGCTTATCTTTCAACCTGGAGTAAATTACAAAATTTATTTCCTGGTTTTCAAAGCAGAGAATAAGTCAATTAGCAAAAGAAAATTCAAGCTAATTAGTTTAATATTTTTTTTTTTAAATTGTAAGGAAAATTGATTGAAATTTTATTTAAATTTCTGTTCAGTTACTGATATGATTTTATAATGAAAGCTAATGCATTTGATAATTTAAATCTACAGGGATTTCATAAAAATATTCTAGTCACTAACATTTAAAAAAAAATTGTAATTTGATCCTAATATAGGAAACAAATCACAGAAAAATTCTTATAAACAACATTTTATCCAAAATCTGAGGAAAAAAAATTCATAACATTTTAAGGAATCATGTATAATGTATAAATATTTCCTTGTAAATTCATTGGCTGAGCAAGTCAGTTTTTTCCTACCATCATTGAGGTAGGTAATCTAACCCAATGATTAATTTTCTTCAAATATTAATTGATAAATTGATACAATTTTCTTAAGTCAACAGATTTACATTCTAAATTGGTATTAAAAAATAAAAGTATAATCACTCATTTATTAAACAAAATGGCAAATTCTGCTTATAAAATAGATCAGGTTAATTTTTCTCCAAATAATTAGAACTTAGTTGGGAAAAATATTAAAAATTTCTTCAAAGAACAGATAAAATATTGTAAAATAAGAAAATGTACTTTGTTATTAAAATGAATGTACAGGTTAATTTTGTATTGAATTTTTCTAAAATTAAATTTATTTAAATTAAAAAAATAAATAAATAAATAAAAAATAATCACCAGGTAACTTTATAATAACTGAACTTATTAAAAGAGAAAAAAAAGTGTTTGATACTTAAAATTTCTGAATCATATCTAAATTACTTTCATTTCCTGAACCAATATTTCATGCTAAAAGATTCTTTTTGAAATAAAAGGCCGAAAATGAATATTTTATTTGAACATCAAGTTCAAAGGTATAAAATTTTATAAAATCTGTACAAATATTTAGAATATAACCATGCAATAAAAAGTACAAAAAAAGAAAGAAAATATTTTTGTATGAAACACATGAGTAGAAAAATATTTTCTTTGAAACTCATGCAAAAATGAGCAATTCTTTTCCATTCAGAAATCAAAAAAAGATTTTAAATGAAACTGCTTAAATTCTATATCTAAACAGAATTCTAAGCAGACAATCTATCTTATGTGTAAACATTTAAAATGAATCAAATTCATATTGTATGCTTATTTTCAATCTTGTCAGTGGTTTGTCTTTTGTTCAACTTCCGTTAATGCTTGACTTAGTTTCTCGACTAGAAAATCTGCATTGTCTCGATCAAAGCACATTGGAGGCTTGAACTTGAGAATGTTGTCATATGGACCTTCACGGCTAAGAATGATACCATTTCTTTTCAAACTGCAAAGAGAAATATTTTTGTTTGTAAAATTATCTCCAAAAATAGTTACTTATTTTTGAATAAGCATTTTAGATATGTGCTGTCATTTTTATCAATTTTATAATTACAGGTTATCTGTTAACAATTTTCTGTTTGAATTTTGGGATAAGGAGTTACCATTATTTATATTATTTACATAACTGAGCAGTACTAAATAAAAACAAGATATCAGTAGACATGACCAGAAGAACGAGAATAACTGTAAATTAAATAAAGGGTTCAGTTTAAAATTCCCTGTATGTTACCTGGATTGACAAGCACCTGATAAAGGGTACAACAGCCAAAATGTTGGGATAATAAAAACAAAGATGAGGACAATAGTCTGCATGTAAAGGTTTCTTTTCTTTTATGGCATATCAACCTCAATGGGTTATTTAATGCAAACAAGATTTTTATTCCTGGTAATTTTTTGTTTTTTGCAAAAATGTATTGCTGGTAATTTTTTTTTTTTTAAATGTATTGCAGGTAATAATTTTTCTTCAAAAATTTATTGCAGGTAATAATTTTTTTTTACAAAGTATTTCTGGTATTAAAACCTATTTTTAGACTTTCATAATGTTTTGACCCCAGTTTGGAGGGTTAACTATTTGTCCATAGCTGGAACCCTAACAGTTGCTACCACCCCAGGTCAGAGTAGACCTGGGAACACCAGCAATTAAGAAGTGGTTCTACACTCCTCAAAACTTGATCAGCAAAAAAGATATTTGCCATTTATGGAGATGGTGCCATAGCAGAGAATACTGTTCATAAGTGATTTGCTAGGTTCAGAAGTGGAAATTCTGATCTGGAGGACCAAGAATGTTTCAGTAGGCTTGCAGTCATTCCCAAATCAAAATGCTGATAACACTACACAGGACGTTGTAAAAATATTCCAACTATCTTGTAAGAGTGTTGTAAGGCATTTGAAAACATTTGAATTGTGAAGTTTGGTTGGGTCAAGATTTAACAGGAAAATGTTTAATAAATTTTATTTCCATTTGCAATTTTCTACTCAAACAAAACAAAAACTAGCCATTTTTGAAAAGAACCATTATGGACAATGTAAAATAAATGTGGAGGTGAAAAGATTCTCAGAATCAAACATTGAATTCAAGACAAGTACAGTTCTCAATTAGACCAATTAAAAGGTAACATTCAATAAAAAGCATCTAGAATTGGTCAATGAGTATGGTGTTGGTTTCCATCAGGAGAACATCAGCTCTCCCATCTCTCTGTAGACCTAGCAGAAATTAGTACTGCTATACTCACTTGATCTACTTTTGGATGGCCACTTATTTTGTTCTCTAGAATAATATTCTTTTAATGGGAAGAGTTTCAATTCCCTGAAAGCCTGCAAAAAGCACTTAAACCAGTTCATCACCCAGAAAGATGACAACTTCTGGGAGGATGGTATCATGAAGCTGCCTCAAAGATGGCACTTGTGTGGTTGAATAAATCTATGTAAAAATATATAAATATTGTCTTTGGAATTCACTTAATTGTTCTGACCCATTATGTTAATACAAACTGATTTTGGAAATTTAACTATAAAAGTAATAATTAACTTGCTTAATTATTCTTGGTATAAAAAAAAAAAAAAAGAAATGGAAACATACTTTTCAACAATATGCAAAGTTTCTTCTGTTGCTGGTTGGCGGCTGTTCTGATCAAGAACCAAATCAATTCCAATAAAAAATCCAATTCCCCTGTTAAAAAAAATATTTCATTTTTTTTTTCAAAAGGCAGTTTTGCAAACATATTCAAATTATTTAGATATTACATTGTAATACTATGAAGTAAATCTGACATGTACTTTCACACAATGTGTCATGTCATTACAAGGCGTGGATTATTGTGACTCTCAGCAAATTACTATCTTTTGCTTTTCTAATTAACTCTTACTCCTTTACTACCATTCTTCACTCAACCTTGTCGTGTTACTATTTCCCCGTCCTTAAAATGTCATGTGAGTGTTAAATTCTCTAAGCCCACTTTCCTTATTATTATAAAGTAGTATGTCGGACATATTATATGGAGGGATGTTCTTTGACAACACGACCCCGCACCCAACCAACATATTGGATTAACCCATCCACAATCAAGGTTCTAGCAGTGGGTAAATGACGCCTATATAAGCAAGCCACTACAGAGCAGTAGGAAAGTAGCTCTTGACTGGCAAACATTTTACACCTGTCACTCAAACTTTACATGGCATTGCCAATAGGATTTTTGTATAAGACTACGGAAAATTATCAACATTCAAAATTTGCAACTTTGAAGCATGGAGATGAGAGCAGCTGTAGACCAGCAGTGTTTTCAGCTCATGCTGAGTTACAAACAGAAAATATCACAATACAAAAGGAAGGATTTCGAGGTCAGCCAAACAAGTCCTATGTCAAAAAAGTGGATCGGCCTACAATAGGACTGGACTTAACTGACAGCAACTGGGCAATATTTATCAATACATGGAGCCATTACAAAGAAATGTACAAGCTGACAGACCTGGCAGTTATATGGAATCAGCTGAGAACGGCATGCACTCCTGAGGTGAACAGACTGCTATTTGACCTGGTGGGAGTTGAGACGTTCAACTCAGCCACAGAAGGACAGCTATTATATTAAGCAGTCAAAGGGCTGCATAAAGAGCTACACAAGCAAAATTTCCATGATGAGGCAGAAAGAGGGCAAATCAATCATGCAAGTTCTAGCTTGTTTACAATCCCTGGCCAGATTTTGAAAGGGTGAATATGGCAATAAAGATGAGGACAAGAGTCCAGACAATGTAAATAGTTACAATACCTCATCTCAGAAATATAGACAGATATTGAAGGAGTGAATATGGCAATAAAGATGAAGACAACAGTCTGGACAATGTAAATAGTGCGAAAGAGAAAACTATTAGTATAGAACTTACACTTGCATCTAGCCATTTCACCTGTAAAATCAGGAGACCTAGCAGCCAATCTAGTACTTAAGTTGTTGATTTTAAAGAGTGGAAATTTGTGAAGAAACTTTACCATTTGCTTATGAGACGAAATCAGATGTTTTCAGTCTTACCTCACATCTCCTATGAGTGGATGTTTTTCCTTTAAATTCTTCAACTTTGTCATCAAGATTTGTCCAACTTCTTGTGCATTCTGCATCAACCTTTCATTTTCTATCACATCCATCACGGCTAATGCAATTGCACATGACACCGGATTTCCACCAAACTAAATTTGTTTAAAAAAAAAAAAAAAAAATTATAATTTTAATTTAATTTATAAATCAGAAAGTTAATTCAAAATTTCACCAAGGAGAATTTATCTTCAGAAATGTATAAGTTTTAAAAATGTTAATTAAAAATATTGACAGAGTTAAATTTATTTATTTATTTTTAAATCATTTCACCCCAAACAAGGCAATAAAGTCGCTAAAATACAAAGGACTACAATGTGTGAGAGAATATGACAAATAAAAAAAAAAAAAAAAAAAAAAATCACTATAGAGAGAGAGAGAGAGAGAGAGAGAGAGAGAGAGAGAGAGAGAAAAAATAAAAAAACAGAAATTGATTGATTCATTCATTTTCTATAGCTTATCAATATTTTTTAGATTGTAAGAAATTTTTGTGGGGAGGAGAGAGATAATAATGGTTTAGTGATACGAGTCTTACTAATTAATCCATATCTGAGAGTAGAAGAAGTGGATTCATACCTTTGCCATGGGTATTTGTGTGTGAGGGAATATAACAAACCCAACAAAAATTGGAACTCTGCTCTTCAATTAACAATTCCGAGCCATTATCCATTACACCACCCACACATCCAAGCTTACAGCACCTGGTATTCCCAAACAGTCACCCATCTAGGTACTGACTAGGCTTGATGTTGCTTAAATTCAGTGATCATATGGGAACCAGTGTTTCAGTGCAAAGAACAAAAATTAAGACAGTAGATAACAATTGAAAGATCTTTAAAGATTTTGAAGACCAAAGTTAACTGGAAAGTAAAAAGCTGAAAGAGAGTTTTACAAGTGAGAACTTGCTTATTTCAGATTAAATTGTTTAATTCTTTCAGATGATTAAAAAAAGTTAAAACTGCCTTTTTAAGTTCTTTAGTGTGGGAGGCCGATTTTTTAAATCCCTACTTTATTTGAAAAACAATACCACCATCAGTAGCATAGGTAGTATGGTTGCAGTCGACCCAGGTGACACTTTTATGAGGGTTGAACTTTGGGGTCTGCTGTATAAGCTGTATTGAAATAAAAGTGGTTTCAATGTCGGGACAATATTTACAGTTGAAGGAGCTTTTCACTTTTGAGTAACTTAAACTATGGCATATGTATTTAAATGATTCTTAATCTTGCCAAACAAACATGATTCAGTGATATATTCAGTGCTGTTTTATCATTGTTGACAATGTGAAACCTGTGAACAGACCCATGGTGCATCCTTTTAATGCCACAGCACTGCTGCATGTGGGAGACACATCATGGTTGTTATATAAATTTCAGTTATTTTCCTCGATAGAAGTTCATTTGAGGATATGTGTTGTTCTATTTTCCCTCTTTGGGGCCTATTAATAGTTAGTGACAAACAGCAGAGATTTTGATCTGCCTGGCCCACTGCTGATATCCCAACTGCGATTACTCATGGAACTAGTGAGGCACTGGACAACAAATATATCTCAAGGACACTCGCATTAGGTATTTCAAAGGCCTTTGACAAAGTGTGGCATAAAGGGTCATTGCACAAGCCCTCTAGGTCCAAGCAATTATTGCAAGCTTCCCTTGAGGTTTGCCTCTCAGTGCAACCCTCTTCTTACTCTACATAAATGATCTGCCGAAGAGTATACTCATCTGTACTAATGATACAACAGTATATAGGTGCAGCAGAGCTTGGCAGCTGATCTCTGCTCTGACCTAGCTCTAACAGTTCACTGGGGGGGGGAAACTGGCTGGCCACATTCAATGACTGTATACACTTTTGAGTCAGTTGGCCATGTTTATTGTTTTAAAAAAGTGATGATTAGGAATTTTAATAAAACCCAAACATATGAAAATGGATTTATACATTTTCTTTATTCTCAAGAATTGGCAATCATAAATAATAAATATAGCACTGGACTTGGTTTACAAATTTTTATAATCTTGAAAATAAACATTTTCAAAGGAGTCAAAATATATATAGTAATAGCAGTGTCAAGGGAATAACCATCCCTTTGACATACCATTTTTTGTGAGCATGAAGATTAAATATTGCCAAAAATGTCATCTTTCATCTCATGATGGCATGTGTGACACAAATGGGGCTTTACATACATGCAGATAGAGGCAAAAATTGCCCAATCCCTACAGCCTGAGCTGTCAAGGGTCGCTGACTATCTTCTATACAAGAAAAAGGTGCTAGCCTGGAATTGGAATCTCCAGGGACCAGACACAGTTACTTTAATTTTAAAATTTTTGAGTTGCCCCAAAACAAGAACAAGGTTCATCCAGCCTATAAAGGACTTCCCATAAAAGATGTATCAAATTTTTTAAAAATTTTAATGAAAAAAAAAAAAAAAATGTAACTGTTTTTAGGCCTTGTTAATTCAGTTTTTGTTTTCAAAAAGTAGCTTCTGTTCTATTAGTCTGACAGTCCTTCAAGAAAATTCTGTTTCATTATCATATTTATTAAGAAAAAAAATAAACATCTTTTTCAATTATTAAAGATTAAAAATTTGCATTTAAAATTTACATAAACTTGGAATCATTTATCTGAGTTCACTTTATGAAGACATTTTTATCACTTGTTTGTTTTTAAAAACTAAATTATTTAACTATTTAGAAAATAAGAATAAAGTTCTGAGAATTTAAGAAAAAAGTTTGCTTTTTTTTGTTAAACAAAATTGATCAAATTCTGAAGCTTACAGTATTAAAGTAGCTTATCCCTAGGGCCTGAAAGCTAGCAGATATTTCTGGAGTTGTCACTACTGCAGACACTGGATGACCATTTCCCATGGGTTTTCCCATAGTAACAATGTCAGGGATGACATCTGAAAGAAAGAAGCAACGAGTGCTGTTACAAAACTGATTCCCAAAAGGACATTTAAATTGATGTATGATGTTGGTCATTTTCAAAACATTAGTTGAGCTATTGTGGATGATTAAATTGATTGTATTAAATTTAGTATAGTATATAATTAGTTTTATTTTTTTACTGGGATTAGTGTGGGATATCTTAGTGCTTATGAGTTTTTTTTAGGATTTTTTCATCTTGTTTGTAGTTAGAGTGTATTTGATTGCATTACAGTAGATTGATATGTTTAGGGTTATTTGAGGAAGTATTATGTTCATTTTGGTTTATGTTAATATTTCTAATATCTTGTCTAATTTGTTCATCAACAATGTCATTAGGAAAGTCATTAGAGTTTGTTCAATGTTTTTTAACTGCATGGTTTATTAAATTTTGTATGATCATTGTTTTGTAGTAGTCAGGACATTCACTTTTATAGTTGAGAGTGCACATGTTTATGCTAGACAGATTTTTTTATATGGGGGAGGTAGTAAATGTATTATTATTCGTGTCTCTCAATATATTAAGATGAGGAAGGGAGGGAGTAAGGGCTAAGTTTTTTTAGCAGCAAAAATCTTGATTTAGTTAAAAAATGTGAGGTAGGTTAACATTTTAAACATCACATCCTTATATTTAGGATAAATTAACAATATTTTGATTATTTTAACTTTCAAAATTAATTGATATCAATTTTTTTAATATTTATTGCAGTGGTTTGAGGTGTGAAGCAAAAAGAGTAAAGCTCCAAACACAATTAAAATAACTCCTAAAATTGTTAATCTCAACATTAATAAATCTGTTTTAATTAAAATTTAATTTTTCCCAAACTATGATCATTAAAGATTAAATTGGGAAAAAAGTGATTACTGAATCCTCAAACATTATGTCTATTTCTGAGCTTTGTGTTGTGTGCATGGATTAGAGGGGGGATACACATTTATGTACATGTTGTGGGAGGTGAGTGTGGGTGAGAAAATGCACATTTATAAATATATGGTTAATATCCTGAAATAAGTTTCAAGTTTTATTGTTTTAATTTTTTTTCCAGAAAAATATTCATTTTCCCAACTTTCCACTTAGAACTGAGTCTCTACTGTGAGATATGCAGAGAACTCCATCCAGGGTTACTTCTATCATTTCCAAACTTGACCCCCCCCCAAGCATGTGGACTTGATGGTATCCCTTCAATTGTGCTTAAGAAATGTGCTCCTGAACTGGATCCTGTTCTCTCAAAGCTCTACAATAGATGCTTTGCTGCTTCTTGCTTTCTGGATTGTTGGAAATCCTCTTCTGTAGTTTTTGGTTTTAAAGAAACCTGGAGAACCATCTGATCCTTTGAACTATCAAACTATTAGTCTTCTATCACTCGCAAAGTAAGCATGGCTGATGTTAACCTTCAAGAGAGTAACTCACTGCACCTTCTCAGATTAATATTTTCAGACGACATGAAGTAGAAAGATTATATTGAATCAATTGCTAAGTCTGCTGTTAGGAAAGTTGGTTCACTATGTTGTGCCAGACAATTTTTCTAACCTGAATCTATTTTACACATTTATAAATCTACTAGTCATCCATGTATTGAATATTGCTGCCATATTTGGTGTGGTGCTTCTTCTATATATATATCTATAATCTTGACAAAATCCAAAGAAGTCTCCACAATATTAGCCCTGACATGGCATTTTGGCTTCCGTCACTTTCCCAACACTATAACATACTTTTCTTCTGACTCTTCTATAAATATTTTCCTGGTAATTGTTCTGATGAGCTTTTCTCATTGGTACCTTGACTTCACAAATTTAAGCGCAGTACTAGATTGGCAGCTAGGTCTCATAGTTTCATTGCTGAAATTGCTAGATGTAAACATAAGTTATATGCTAATGTTTCTTCTTTTGCACTTCTCACTTGTAGAACTCTTCTAGTTTCCAGCTTTCTCATCAACTACAATATTCAAAAATTTAAACGCAATGTCAGTTGTCATCTTCTGTCTCCATGAATCCTGATCTTTTTATTGTCCTCTGTTTCTTTTACTTGCTTTATTGCTTTGCTTGGGTTGAAATGAAAAAAAAAAAGGAAAACGTTCTACATTGTTCTTAGTTCAATATTTAAAAATATTAAAACAAACTTCACTTTTAAAATGAGTTAAAATTATGTATAAAGTTTCAATTTAACAAGAACTGATAAAAAGAGAATGGGGAAATTGTGTCTATTTCAAAATTGTTTTTATCTGAGTGACTGATTTGCATGACTCAGAATCAAAAGCATGAAGGAACAATTCACACAGTTCATGCCAGTCTATTTAAACTTCTTACTGACTCCAGTCATTGCCAAGAATTAAAGTCCATTTTTGTTAAACTCTTATGATGGCTTTATATCCCAATTTTAAATATGATGCATTAGTTATTTTTGAATGTATCTGATATCATGTAAACATGATGTTATTCTTTAATTTAAAGGCTTGTAATGTCACATAAATGTGGCATTATATAGGGTCAGAGAATTTAAATACATTTATGCTCCTAAATTATAAATGATTTTGTTCAATTGTAGCTTGTTTTAATTTAATATGATTAGCTTCTAAAATTTGCAATTTTCAATAGAGCAAGTGCATTTGTAAACAACATTAGTGTTATTAGTAAGTATTATATCAATATTATAATAGTGACTCTAGGATTCATTTAATACTAGATTTCATTAAAACCATTTTTAATATTTTTATTTTCATAATCTTTATTATAATAGATTGTTTATAATTTTTAATTAATAACCAATAATAAATGTTTTGCAGGTAGTGAGGAGTGTGTGAATGATGGTGGCAAACAGTTTGAACATTTGAGGAATTGATATATTTATTATTGATATGTTTGTATAATCAATATATGTTTTGTGTACAGGTTTCGTTTTTCATTACTGTATACATACTTTTGCATTCCTCTTTACAGAGTATTAAATTGTATCAAGATTTATTTTATTGATTATGAAACAAAAACTTTTTATAATAGATAATGAATATTAGGTATTTATTACTATTTATAATCTAAGAAGACAAGAGTTAGAAGTTATTTTATACAGAGGTAATAAAATTATGACTATTAGAATCAATAAGGACATTAAATAAAGGGATATTTTATTAATACTTAATTTGTATATAAAGTTAAGAATAGGGTTTTATTAAAATATTTGTTTTGTTTTTTATATCTTACATTTTTTTCTAAAATGAAATGCTCATCAATGCACATGGCATATACTGCTGGGTTAGTTTGTTTTCATGGAATATTTTATTTTCTAAGTGAGTCATAGAAAAGTGTTATATAAAAAATATCTATAGAATTTTAATTTTGGCTCTAATACATTGCATGACACATGTGAATTGTTGCCAATTTTGGTTCTGTATTTTAAAACTATTTGTGTGGATAAAAACAAGTTTTTGAGAATGAGCCAATTTTGTAAAAATTAACATAGGAGTTATTTTCTCTTTTGAAAAATTAACATTTGATGAAAGAATTTAATTCCTGTGAATAATATTTTGGCAAACAGACCTTCATGCCTACAAAAAGAAAAAAGAAAAAGAAAAGTGTTTCAAAAGGACATTTTTTTATATTGTTACTATTATTTTAGCTATGTTCACTCCCTTAGCAATGTTTATTTACATGATCATAAAAATTATTTACTTTTCATAATAATTTTTTATTTACCATTTTATAAAGAAATAAGTGTCAAAAAAAAAAAAAAAAAAAAAAAAATCTTTTAATTCAAAAATTAAAAAAAGAATTACAAATTATTAAAATATGTAAACCATCTACAATTCAATAAGTTTTGAAATATCAACTAATTACCAATTTTACCTACTTTCAGTCCCTCAGCAACGTTTGTTGTTTTAAAAAGCAATGATTAGAATTCTAATTAAAACCAAATATATGAAATTAAAATTAAATCAAGAATTAATCTGAGGTCTAAAATAAACTGAGAAGAAAATGTATCATATCCAGTAAATGTTTATTTAAATTTTTTTTTATAATTAATTGATATAAAATTATGAATAAAAAACTTGTTTTCAGTTATTTATGAAATGGTAAATAATAAATATTTCATTGTAAATAAAAATTGCCAAGGAAGTGATAAAGTAGTTAAAATAATAGCAGTATCAATGGAAAACTATCCTTTTCAAACACCATTTTTTTTGCAGGCACAAAGGTTCATGTTTGCCATTTTTTTTTTCATTCAGTGAGCCAGTACAGATATTAGAGATGCAAAATTAATTTACCACATCAGAATTTTGCATTTTATACACAAATATTGAACTTAAAAACTGTTGCTTATTTACTCTGACCTTGATATTTCTTAGAATAAGTTCTTAAAAAGGAATAAATTAGTTTATTTAATATCTGAACCATATTATATCATCACATAAATCTCTATAAAAAGGAAAGTATGTATATAAACTGACCATGTATTTCAAAGGCCCACATATGTGAGCCAACTCTGCCAAATCCAACCTGGACTTCATCAGCTATACAGATACCACCAGCTTCACGGATGTATCTTTGAAGAAGAAATAAATATGTAGAATTAAAAAAATATCAATATAGTTTTCATTTCATAGATTTTATTAGCAATGGAAGGTATATGGATTAAAAAGTACTTTTTTATTTATTTTTTTTTTTTTTTTAAGAAAGAAAAAAATCTTTGTCCAACATATGAGGAAATAGCACTGAAAAATTTTCAAATCAACCAAAATGGGATTTCAAAGAATATTTTAATTTTTGGTCAGATCTTGGGAAGTGTGTTGGGTTAAGAACATTTCAGCACCTATTTATCTGTAAGCTTTTCTTGGTTTCACTTTCCTAAAGTCATTAAATCATTGAAAATTGAAAGAAAAGTGAAATAATGTAGAGATATATTCAAAAATATGTTTCTTGCAGAGTATCATCTTATTCCAAATGGCATCATCTTTGGTAGAAGATCATAAAAATAATAAAAAAAAAAAAAAAATTTTTCATTTTTGAAAATTGTCTAGGATTATTTGCAGCTTTTAGTCACTGCAATTTTACCTTTGTTTCCTTTCACTATTTAACAGAGATGAGAAAATGTTGAGACAGAAAAATGATAAACACATTATGATGTAGAGATATATTTTATGAACCAAAAAATTTAGAAGTCATAAGAATTGTTTTATTCCACTGACTTGAACAAGATTGAAAATTTAAAGATTTAGAGTTTAAAAAGCTTGCGAGAGCAAATATTTTTGCAATATCTCAAAAATACAAATAATATTAAGAAGAACATTAAAAATGAAACAACTTTCAAAATCAAATCAAACATACCTGAAGACTTTTTTCAGATAGTCTTTGGGATAAATAATCTGCCCTCCACAACTCTGAAGTGATTCAGCAATGTAACAGGCGGGTTTCCGACCTTCTGCTTTAAGGTTATCAAGGATTTGCAGTACATCATCAGCATATTTCTGCCCTAAATCTTCAGTTGCAGGGAAGTCACAATCCCTGTATTTACCCCGGTAGACGTCTGGACAAGAGGCCTAAGTAAAGATAAGGATCAACGGCAAAAATAAAAACTAAACTGAAATAAGTATTTTTTGATTTTTTTTTTTTTTTTTTTTTAAATACCACATTCTTTCAGGATGTAAACAATCAAGACTCACCAGAACTTTCTTTTTTTTTAATATCTATGAATTGGCACAATGGTTCTTAGAGAAAGCAGTGTAGTGTTTTTAAATTTACTGTTGTCTTTCTCCTTGGCTTGTTGACCTACCAAAACTAGAGAGCTCCGTTTGCTGTACTATTTTCGCAAGAACTGGGCTGAGGAGAAAAGATAAATTGCTTTTCCTAAGGGTATCAGTGGAAAGTGAATGCAAGAACCTTAACTGAAATTTGAACTGCTTACCAAACTATTATATCACCCAAACGTACTAAAAGAGTTAGTCCTGTGTTGCCTAAGATTACCCCTCCCCAACTGCTTTAGACATTGAATCTTCTCTTAAAATGCTGTGTCCTTTCAGGATGTAGGCAATAATCCATCTCCACAGATTGATTTTCTTTTTTATCCAAGAACACCATACCTTCTTGGGAAAGACAGTAGAACGGTTTCCTATTACCTTCTCAATGTCTGCTGTTCGAAGCTAGAGATCCTAGTCTACCATGCTATTTAACCCCTAGCTGGAAAGATATGAATTCATGCTTTTCACAAAGGCATTTGTGTGAAAGTGAATGCAACAGATTAGAGCAGAATGCTGATAGCCCTTACACTACCAACACATCCAAGCATTGAATAGACAGGTAAATAATGCAATCTTGTACCTTACTACGAACACACACATATCCGCAAATACATCAATAAATCTGTAGCCTTGTGATGAAAAAAAAAAAATAAATATATATATATATATATATATATATATATATATATACACACACTGATAATTAATAAATAAGGATATTTAAATATGAAAAATAAGTAAAATGTTTCAATTTAAAATTTAAAAAAAAAAAAAAAAAAAAAAAACAATTAAAAATGCCCAATCAATAAAATAATCCCAACAAAATCAAAAATAAATTGCCTACAAGTAAAACAAGAGTCTCCATTTTGATACTGGTTTTGTGAGTTTTTCCTTTTTAGTAAAAGTAATTTGTGGCTCTGAATGGTAAAGGATTCTGAATAATAATAAGAAAAAAAAAAAAAAAAAAAAAAGTCTTTTTTTTTCTTTTTTATATAATAGGAGTAGATAGGTTAGCCTATCATCTGGTTCACACTCCTCCTTGGTCTTTTGAACAGGAGTAGAGATTTATCCTTTGTTCCCTGTTTAGAATTGAATTTCCAGTTCCTAAAATCTTTTCATTTTCTTTCACTCCCAGTAGCTCCTTGCATCTTAATGGCATCATTACCTTATTTGGGATGAATTAATAAAAAAAAAAATGGCATTTTTAAATGTTTTTAAGCTTCAAATATAACTTTTTGAACAAGTCCATGATGATACCAAATACTTACAACATGTACATATGGTAGGGTAGGAACATCACAATGTTTGGCCATCCTACGCAACTTCATTGGACTGATTTCAATGAGGGAAGTCACATGACCATGATAAGCACTGAAATAAAATATATGACTACATTAAATAATTTATATGGACAAACAATCAAACTTTATTAGCATTTCTTTATAAAACAGATCTGCATAAATTTTACTAGAAATAATAACAAAAATTGTTTATGAATAGAAAATGATTCATTTTATGCAGTTATATGTTCATATTCATTGAGATAAAAAGGCCAGAAGTTCATATTCTATATTCATTTAGATGAAAGATCAAAGAACTTATTTGAATGTAGTCAACTAATATTTCACCACTTTTCAACTGGCCAAATATATTTAAAAGTTGCCAACATGGAGGCCTGAGAATCTAACCAAGACAAAATAGATGCTTAAATTTGCATTTAGGTACATTAAAGTATGGAGATGTACTGAAAAGTTCTCATCCCAACCAAGAAGCCCTTAAAAAAATAAAATAAAAGTAATGTTTGGTCATTTGCTAAAATAATTAGAGAAGTGGGTTGGGTTGATAATATTTCAGCAGTGGAATGAGAACAGTCTGCACCCAGAAATTAAATAAAGGGTTTAGTTCACAATTCCCTATAGGTTACCCAGATCCATATACACCTGAAGACCAGAGGGTACAATGGCCGAAACAATAGAGATGTTATCTTCTTAATTTTTGTTTTTATTATTCTCTCTCCTTAATATTTTTTTTCATATTCTCTAACACTCAGTAACCCCTTGCATCTTAGTGGCTTTATTTCCTTGCTTGGGCTGGAATGATTGAAGAAAAAAAAAAAAAAAGATAGTAGGGAAAATTTGAATATTTTAATGTTGTCAAATGTTTCAGCTTTTCTTATGTTGCTGCCCAATAACTTTCAACATTACTCCATTTGTTATTTCCTGAACTGACAAACAAAATTATTTATTATAAGGAAAAAACTTTACCTCAAACTTATTTGCACAATTTTCAACTATCAATTTAAATGTTATGTAGTAAAAATCAGTTAAAATAGGACTGCCAATGGCCCAAAGTTAATGCAAACATTACTGAGAAAATATGGTTATTGTGTGTATAATTTATTGACTGTCTGTGTAGTCTAGTTTTGATAATGAAACAAAATTCTCCCCACCACCAATTATTAGAAATTCCTATTGTCAATAGAGAATAAAAAACTAAGTCTTATGAATACTCACTGATCAAGTGTGACAACATCATTTGATTTGGTGTGACATCGAGCAAGACGCAGGGCAAGATCGTTGGCTTCAGAACTTATGAAAAAACACAAAGAAAAAATGTTAACCATTTTTGTGAGTCCAAATAATTTACTGGAAAAATAAATAGTCTACTGTATTAGGAAATAGAAACTAAAACTAATCATGTTAAAAAGCCTTTTTTTTTTTAGCCATAATTAAATGAAACCAATAACAAAAGTAGGTAAAAATGAAAGAATTATCAATGTTTTCACTGTATTATAGAAGAGAAAAAAAAACAAAAAAAACAAAAGAGACTTACCCTGAATTAACAAAATACACAACAGACAGTGGGGAGGGCATTGTGGAAATAATTCTTTCTGCAAGAATGACCAGATTGTCATGAAGGAAGCGGATGTTAGTGCTTAGAAGTGACATCTGTTTTGAGCCTTCATTCACAACATATGGATGACAATGGCCAACTAGAAAATAAACAGAAAATGATATCACTGCAAAAATATATAAAATCATTATTCAATTATACACTACAGTTCAAAAGTTTGAAGCAAACCCCAGAATTAGCATGGGATGAACTTGACAGAAGAGTGAAAAAAAAAAAAAAAAAAAAAAAATGAAAAAGAGCTCTTGGAGTCATTGAAAAAAGAATGGAATCAAACATATTTTGAGAAATTTTTGCAACGAATGTCAAAAATTTATACTGCAGTAATCAAGGCGAAAGGAGGATATTTTGACAAGAGCAAAATTTAATCATAAAATGATATTTTTCTTTTTGTCATAATAAAATCTTACTTATAAAACGCAGATTGTGTGTGCGTGTGTGTGTCTGTACGTTTATATATTGGATCGGATTTCCTACATTTTTCAATCGATTTCAACAAAACTTTACAGGACTACATAAAATTACCTTGCGGTGGTTCTAACAGCGCCAAATATTGGAAAAACACAATTGTTTTTGCACGAAATCAATTTGAAAGCACGGTTAAGTGTATAGCACCCCGCTGGAAGTTACTGCCGGCTACTGAAATGTCCGAATGCCGTTAACTTCCGGTGATTCAGCGTTTTATTTTTTTTTCAGAGAACGATACACAAAAAGTAAACAGATGAAATCTAAACATACACAAGTCCTCCTAACGAAAAATAATAACCGGAAACTACTTTAAATACACATGGTGTCCAAATATTTTTTTACTGTATTCAATAAGTAAAAATCATAAATTGTAAAAGATTACAGAAAGGCTACTAAATGAATAAGATTTGTTAGATCATCTTACTTATTATAAAACGCAGATTGTGTGTGTGTCTGTACGTTTATATATTGGATTGGATTTCCTACATTTTTCAACCAATTTCAACAAAACTTCACAGGACTGCGTAAAATTACCTTGCGGTGGTTCTGACAGTGCCAAATATTGGAAAAAACACAATTGTTTTTACATGAAATCAATTTGAAAACATTATAAAACACAATTCTGTCGCCAGAATGAAAGTGGAGGACAACTCATATCGAGTTATACTTATTATAAAACCCAGGTTGGTTGTTTGTGTGTGTGTTCGTTTATATATGGGATTGGATTTCCTACATTTTTCAACCGATTTCAACAAAACTTCACTTTTTTTTGGAAGGTAGTGTTTCTTATTGTCTTGCACACTTTTTTCTTTATTTTTACATTCAGAATGCTTTAAAAATTCCATTTACAAGACAATTGTTTATAATAAAATTCTATTCAATCAATAGACTCATAATGATTGAAAACAATGTTTTTGTTTGAGTTTGACTAATTCGTAAAAAAAACAAAAAACAAAACTAAGACATGCGTGTCCGTCAACCTTAAACAATAATCTTTGTCAATTTTATTTTTCAGTCTTTATGATGGTTGATACTTGATCTATCTCTTACTCAACTGTTACATCCTCGGGCAACGCCGGGCTCTACTGCTAGTTTCTAATAAAAATATCATGTCTCACTTTTTTTTTCTCCATGTATAATAATTTTCTCTTATTTAAAGTACAAAACAACTATTTTGGGGGTCAATTTAAAAAAAAAAATACCAGGAGTTTCCTCAAACTTTTGAACTATAGTGTATATGTTACAGAGCAGAGGTGAAATAGTTAAAATTATTGCCAATGATATTTGTGTAAATTCTATTTTTGCCAGAAAGAAGTGTAATATACATTTATTTTATTGAATTATTGCAATAAAAATAAAATTTATCAATATGAAGATTACTGAGCATTTGACCAATGGCCATAAAAGTAGTGACAGTTTTTCTAATCTGTACTAATCTGCTTGAATTTCTGAGATGAGAAGTTATCTTTATTTTCATTCAGACTAATGTCCTCATCTTTGTTATTATCACAATGTTTTGGCTGTTGTACCCTCTGGCCTTCTTCAGGTGTCTTAATCTAGATAACCTTGAGGAAATTTCAAACTGAAACCTTTATTTAATCTATAGGGGAGTCATTCTGTGTCAAATCAACAGGGGTCTGACCATCGCTGACACAGATTTTTTTTTTAAATTTGGTATATGTATTGTTGAGGTGAATGATACACAGAGAAGAATGAGTGCTAAAATATATTTATTCAGCACCAGTATTCATTGCTAATGGATACATACAAAAAACACAGAACAATAAGTTACAAACAATTAACAAGGCAACAGAAATAGAGGAGAATCAAATGCTGTATAGCCAAACGAAGTAAGACCAGTCCGAATATTAATCAGCTTAGTATCAACTTATTAATCAACTGCTGAAGTCCTTAATCATAGACTATTTAAGGCTATGAGCCAGGCCATCTTGTAGAGTGCTGAAGGGATATTAGCTACTCTACAACAGTACACTTATAGAGCTTCATAATAGAAATTGAATGGTACTTATTTTACATCTCTAGGTCAAAGGGTTCCTGAGATATGACCCTTGCCAAAAAGGTGAATTTTGGAAAATACTCACAAATTTTAAATATCAATATCTCAGTTGTTTTCTTTTTAACCGTAACCCAACAAAGCTAAATTATATACCATTTTAAAGTACTTGAATGGATCTAAATGGTGATTTATTTATTTTTTTTGTTTGAGGGTCAAATAAGATGATTTAACCTTGAGATTATCCATAAATTTCTCAAAAAAATTTTAAATTTGACAACAAATTTGTCTCCTTTATGGCAACATACATACAAAATTTTGTGGTGTACTTCTGACTGTGGCCTGAGTTACAAGGGTTCTATTGAGTCGAGCCAAATTCAAGATGGTGGATTTTGGCATTTGCCACTATATGCTACCATTTTTATATCTCCCAAGTTATATATCTTGAGAAAGATCTTTGAATGCTGATTAATATTCACATAAAAACTATGATCATAAAAATCAACAGAATTTGTGTTATTTGTGGTTAAATGTTGACCAATTTGGTAGAAAATAAACAACCTTATTTTTGATTTTGTTTGCATTTTTATTATACAATAAATACATTTTTATATGAAAAAGTGACATAAAAAATAATTATTTAAAAAATTATCATGAACATAACATAATATGAAAATATGCAACAAATGATATTAATGGCTCACAAATTTTAGTTGACATGGTACACTAAATGGACAAAATCAAATTTTCAGCTTTTTTTATATATATTTAAAAAATTAGTTTTGATCTGAAAACATGAGACATTGAAATGAACAGAGGAAGTAAAGATTATGAGAATAAGAGGATGATAGATAACAACTGACCATTAATTTGAAGTGGTTAAGATTGTAGTCTTCAGGGAAGCATCCATGTAGGAATCTGTTACACAAAGAAGTTTCTGAGTGGAATTTTCCCCTTACAAATGGAATATGAAAGAAATGTGGGTGATTTGACTCCATGGACATAGCATGGCAAGTTCTAGCTGTAAAGGTCCAAACTAAAGGGTGGAACTAATCTGAACATTTACCATGAAAATTGTGATAGGATTGTGATTTGCTGGAATTTGTTGTTTTAATTAAAATCATAAAAGGAAAACCTTGTCTGCATAGATTTGTGAAGATAAAACACTTGTTACTGTCTAAAGAAAAGCTATTTATTTGGACATATGAGCTGAAATCCAGCAGTAATCAAATCTGTGCTATGACTTTTGTGTAGACTTACATAAACATTAATAATTCCTAAATTCTTGTAATGTGTGCTAAACATTAAATAATATTTGAAATATTTACATTTAACCAGAAAACATTTGTTATTCCATACTTGTTGATATTTGATTATTTGCTTGGGAACTGAGGTTATACAGTTACAACACAGGTTAACCACTTTCACCAATAGATTAATTTCATG